CCCATTGTGGAGAATTTTGAATTTTCTTAATTATTATAGGGAAGACTTATTCCTTAGATAGCAAGGGCCTAATCACTCAGTGGAATCCAAACAGATATAAGAATTTCAGTATTTATTCAAGGACACTTTCCCCTTACCCTTGGTTAACATTAGGAGCATTTTCTAGGGTATGCTATGTGAAACATTCAAAATCCTCATTCCAAATCATCTTTGATAGTGAGTACAGGCCACATCTACTCTCTGGGTCTGTATCTGGAGAGCAAACATGGTAACACTTAGGATTTAAGTTTGAAAGTTACTTTCCCTTAAGGTTGGCATAGCCCTATCTATATGGGACCATCTCATGTTTCTGACATTGACGACTCTCCCGTTCCCTGACAGTTCTGGGGATGGTGGAAACGTTTGCTATAAACCTACCTGCCCTAACATCCCCCTCTTTTTGCTGATCTCCACTTTTATCTGCCTTCCTACAGAACCCCAAGTTTTGTATGGAAACCTGGTAACTAGTCTAACAGAAGAGTCTGGAGTGGACAGAAGAATTAATGCTTTTGGAGGGTGTTAAATACTGAACATTGATTCTGGTAAATCAGAATTACTATTAGGAAACCCGACTAGAAGGTCAATTAAGAATGCTGCTTACCAGAGATTATTGACTTTAGGGTCTGTAGACTTACTTTCAATGATGTTTCTTTGGGGCGCTTGGGTGGCTCGTTGGTTAAAAGCCTACCTTTGGCTCAGGTCATGATCCCAGAGTCCTGAGATTGAGCCCCACGTCAGGTTCCCTGCTCAGTGGAGTCTGCTTCTCCCTCTGCTCCTCCCCCTGCTTATGCTCCCTCTACTTCTCTCTCTCTTTCTCAAATAAATAAACAAAATCTTTAAAATAAATAATCTGTTTTTTAGAAGTATAATTTGTTTAGGTTGGTAGAATCATTGGGAATGATTCTCTGGCATCAGGATTTTCTCATCATTGTGTCAGAGGTGGATCTGAATGTGGCCAAAGCTGTGAACCTTTGTTCGAGATCAGTGATTCTCAATCTTTATGTGCATCAAGATCACCTGGAAGACTTATTAAACCACAGACTGGTGTGGGGCCCTAGGTGGCTCAGTCAGTTGAGTGTCTGACTCTTGATTCTGGCTCAGGTCATGATCTATGATCTCCGGGTCGGGAGATGAAACCCGTGTCCGGCTCTGTGCTCAGTGCAGAGTCGGCCTGAGATTCTTTCTTCCCCTCCCTCTGCCTCTCCCCCTGCTTTCTCTGTCTCTCAAATAAGTAAATACTATATTTAAAAACATACACACACAGACTGCTGAGCCCCACTCTAGAGTTTATGATTCAGTGGGTTAGAAGTGAAGTCCAGCCACCACCCCCCCACCAATTTCTAACAATTTCCCAGATGATGCTGATGCTGCTGGTCCAGGAGTCAGCCTTTGAGAACCAGCAGTTTAGGTTATACAGGGATCCCTTATCCTGGAAGAGGACTTTTTTACTCCCGAGATGTAGGTAGACATTTCAAGGTCATCCAAATTCTGGGGTGGGACTTATGCTCTCACAGTCCCTCCTGTCCTGCCCTGCCTCTTGGGGTCCTGCTCCCTCTTACATGGACAACGGTAACTCAGCCCCTTCTTCTAGCTCATCTGTAAGCAAAATAAACTTGTAGAAACATTTCAAAGAACCTAAGAAGAGCCTTCATCACATCAAAGCGAACACTCTCTAATCCTCAAGTGTCCATCAACAACCTTGCTGGGTCTGGCGTTGCTACGATTTTCTGCCTTCTGTCTCTGTCCCCCCACGGTCTTCCTTACCCACTGTCAGGAGGAAGAAAAACCCATCCTCCTATCTGTAAAAAGTGGCAGAACTATCATGTGTTGTTCTGCAGATTCTTTCCTCCTATGAGAGTCTAGCAAAGAATTATCCCAAATTAGACAGTTTTCTTCTGGGAAAAATTCTGGTGCCAGATGTTAAGATAATGATTATTTTTACTTCATTATTATCAAATACCCATCCAAAGGACATCACCATAATAACCCTCTGGATTTATCTACTATTATCATTTCCTTAAGAATATCAAAATAGAATCTGACATATTTAGATCTTTGCCCCTATCATCTTCACTTTTTTTGGGGTCTGGAATTTTATTAGGTGTGTTCATTGTACATGACTCTTTCACTGAACTGTATCTGCTGTCTCTGTCTGGTTGGGATGGCAGGACCGATAGGTGAGGAAGGATAGGGTGGGGTTAGTGGACATGCAAGGCCAAGGTAAATTTGAGGAATGAATTTTTGAAAACTTCATCAAAAGTACATTTCATTATTCTTATAACTTTTTGTTCCCTTTGTCCTTCCCAGAGTTTACTGGTGAACTATTGTCATATTAGTTTGGAATGTGTGAAACTGTTTCTGCAAGAATGTCACCCTGGATGTGGTTAAAAAACTTTGAAAACTGTAGACGGTAAGAGAATGTTGATTTTTGCCCACTTGTATCTCTTTCAGTCTTAAATGTCATCACAAAATGAAGAGAAAACTTGATAAAAGCTGTGCATTGGTTTGTGCTTATCCATAAACCCTCAGGGTTGTTTCCATTTTATTAATACAGGGTTTCAGCAGTCATTAAATATTTCCCAGAAAATAGCTTCTTATAATTTCACTTAAAGCTAAACCAAGTTTTCACGACCTCTCATATAGCACAAAAATTACATGAGTTCCTTTGTACTTTGGAATTCATTAAAAAGCTCAGGAAAAAATGCTTGGGAGAACTTAGATTCCTTTCAGCTATGTTGGCCTCTGTCCTCAGAATACCATTTACTAGAATGATATACAAGGTAGGGAAAGAAAAACACTTGAGTAGTTATTAGAGTTGAAATTACCATTTCAGATGTCCCATATTTCAAGAATTTGATTAATCCTAGTCTCCTCTGTGAAATCTGAGCTTTTTGAAGGAAATCTGAGATTTCTGTAATGAATTAGCCTTTTAGGAAATAGAGGAATCCATAGAACAAATGGGTGAATCCACGGAACAAATACTTCTGTATAGAACCTGAGGAACTTTATAGGTTTCAAGACAAACAAAATAATGGAACAGTTTGAGGAATTTCTACTGACTGTATATCTCATAAAATTTAACTAATAATTTATTTCTGGAAAATATAAATTGAGAGCTTAAAAGACAGAATGGAATTTACATTATTTTACAAAATCACTCTAAAAGTACAGTATTCTCAACAAACGTGTTGGTGGGCAAAGAATTCTGTCTTCTTCAAATATCTCATTGTATGGTGCAAATGTGACCTCTTACTTTTTTATTTTAAGCTAATTTTTCCCTTTATTCACCCATCTTCTTTAACATTAAAGATGCGCAAATTACAGAATACATGTAATCCTGATTCTGTATTTCCAATTACTACATTAGTAAAAAATTAGTGTCCTACTTCATTGCTAAGCTGAGACTCTAGGGTATTGGTGAAAAGAGCCTTATTTGAATATCTCATCCTTTGAATACTGAATTATATAATGCTTTCCAGAGGAATAGGAAGGGTTTTAGAATTTTATAGATCACTATCTGACTGATCTAGTTTGTCTCATTTTGTACTTCTGGGAATAGAAGATTTAATCTTTCTTAGTCTAAAGAAAAGATTAATATTTTAACATCTCCTCGTATTATAGATTTGGGAACTACTTTCATGCCACATAGAATTGTACATTTCTCCATTATTTTGGATGATATAACTGTACCTCTGATCTAACAACGCACACACTGCATTCCCTGGAGCTAAAAGTAATTTTTGGGCATTTGAGATCAAATTCATAGGCTTTTCTAGGAGGAAATCCATTGTGGTCTTAGAACATAATCTGTCTTTTGTTAGAATATAAGTTTGGGAAAAAGCTGAGGGTGTCTTAAGCAGCTCTAAGGCAAGTAGTAAGTAAATAAATAATGACATGATTATCGTTCTAGTACTATCTATATTAAAATGCACACAAATGCCTAATAATTGTTTATAATTATTCCTAATTTTAAATCCTGTCTACTTTCCAAAAGGCTTTGGGACTTATTTTGGTAAACACACACACACATACACACACACACACAGCAGAACAATTTGAAATTATAGTAAACAAAATGTTTGATCAGAAACCAGGCAAAAAAACAGGAGAAATGAAACTGGGTCAAGGTGAGTGAAGCAGTTGGAAGACTCAGGTTGGAATTGCTGGCAGGGAAGGCAAAATGGGAAACACCATACAAATCATGGTCTTTTATGCCTTCTAAAATAAGACCTGGAAATTCTTCATCAAAGTAAAAATTAATACATTCTAAGAAGAATTTATCATAGGATTCTTCTAAAATAATAAGAAACTGAAAACTTTAGTGATCAGACACATCAGACAACTGCACAAAATTCTGATTGGTCAATATTTTATTTTAAAAAATGTTAAGTTATCATTGATAGAATTTCCACATTCTTCCTTCATGCTACCACATATTGTCTTGGGATGACTGCACTTCTTTCCCTCTAAGTTGAGATACTGTGTTTTTATTGGATTTGAATAATTTTTAGAGGCATGACAGTAGAGGACTAGTTTGAAAATAAGGAGATCCTTTTTAGTGCATTATGTTAACTTGTGCTATGAGAATAAGTGAAACATGTACTTCATGTAGAGCATAGTTGGGAAAATTCTTCTGTAAAGGGTCAGAGAATAATTATTTTAGGTTTGCAGGTCAGATGAGTCTGATGCAACTACTCAGCTGTGCCCTCCTAGTGTGAAAGTGAATGGGCAGGGCAGGACTATGTTCCAATAAAACTTTATTTATGGACATTGAGAGTCACAGTAGAGCTGAACACATACCTTTTCCTTCAGAATAAAGCAGGTCTTCAACTTCAGATATTCTCACCATTCCTCACTAATGTGACAAAATTTAAAGATGTACTTGATATTCTCAAGTTTGATGCTATCTTTCTCCTTGAGAAACATAAAGTGTTTAACCTAAAGACTTTTCATGCACTTACCATGCTTAGAATCTAGGCTCATTCTTTTCACTTTTTTTTTAGCTTGAAGATTGTCCATCTTTATGGCTGCACCATCACTTCTGACCTGTGCAAAATAAGAGAAACTTACAAAAGAGTCAAAATATTTCATGACACTTCCACCCTTACCCACTACTGTTTTCAGGAAAATAGAATTTCTAGTAATAAGGACATTGAAAATATACTAAGTTAAATATGCCCAGAAATTTTTCCCAATTAAAGTGAGATATAAGTTATTTTTGTATCAGATAAATAATCAAGGAATAAGTGCATGTAAAGTGTTGGCATCTCATACAAAAATAACATATTTTTGAATGTCAAACACCTCGACCCCCCAGAATGATAAAATTAAAAAGTACAAAATTTTAAATATTGGTATCTTCTTGCCTGTTTGTACTATTTGTCTATAATGTGTTTAAACTTTTACCTGAGATTCCTAAATGGTAAATTGCAGTCTACTTTTCTTGAGTCACTTAGTGTGTTATGAGAGAAGAATAATTTGGCTAACTCTGGAAGGAATATTTTCTCTTTTATAGGCCATATATATTTAATTGTATGTATTATGGTTTTATATGTAATACAGCAATGTCAAATATGTTGATTTCTTCACGACTTGTGTCAGAGTATTGTGGTGGCTTCTGGGGAGCTCTATATCCTACAGGGTACTTTCACAAACTGCAGACAAGGCTGTGCCCTTTGACTTGAGTCTCCGTAGTGAGTATTTTATGCCAAGGAAAGTAGCTATGCACTGTCTCTGGCAGGGTTTCCCAGACACTGGATAATGATTCATGTGGATGTGGAAGGTTAGGGAAGTGGGGCAGGTAGAATGGTCAAGGGAAGGAAGATAAGCAACACCGACATCAAGCAATGTCACCCAGTGATGACTGTCTCAGACCCAATGCTTAAGGTTATTATGCAGGTCAACTTAGAGTTGTTCTACATAGAGGGCAAGGGGGCTTGAACACCACCACTACTTTCAGAGGAGATAACAAATTGCTCAGGTCCCTACAGCTGACTAGATGCACACGCAAAGCAAACTCCAGCAGCCTTGGGGCAGTCTTCAAACAAGTGATATAGGAGTAAACAGTTGGGTGGAATGCATAGGGGATCTAAGTGGATGGGGCAGAGCAAGATAGCATTTGCTACTTGCACTATGGAGGGAAACACGAAGCACTTGAATCAGTGATCTGGTTTGAATCCTAGTTCTAGTCATTGTGTGATTTTAGTTGTTTCTCTCAACCTGAGATTTAGTTTTCTTGTCTCTATAATTGGGAAGCCTAACCTTGTGAAGGATATTTAAAGGATGACCTATGATTGCATGGTGACAAAACAGGGAAAGGATCTTAGGCAGAGGCAATATTGTGGAGGAAGCACGGAGTCTTAAAAAGACTGCTTAATTTTTGGGAAACAGTATTGCTGGAGGACAGATCCACGTGTGCAATAGGTATGTGGGTGGAAATGGGGTCTTATGGCGACACTTAAGAGTAAAGCATAATCTCTTTTTGGAAGGTTTGGGAAATGATATCTAATTTAAGGTCTAAAGCAGGTGAGGTGGATATTAGGTCAATATGGTAACTGAGCTGAAATAGTGCATCCCACTTCAAACACAGAGATGAGGAAAAAAAAAAATACAACCAAAAGGGTGTAATATAAAGCCAAACTCAAAGCAAAAAGGTGGGGTAGATTAAAGATGGTAAAAAAAATTTTTTACTACTCCTCTAATTGAGAGATGGTGACTATTTTACCTCCTTTTGAGTCTGGGTTGGTCTTAGTGATTAGCTTGAGCAATAGAAGTTCAGCTGAACTAACATTTTAAGACTACTGAGGCTAGGTTGTAAGAAGCCTTGAAGCCTTGGCCCAAGACCCTTTGAACACTCATTGTTGGAATCCTGAGGCACCATGTAAGTTGTCCAACTATCTTGAGGGAGGGACCATGTGAAGAAACCGTGAGACCCTATGAAAGCAAATGTTGAACTAAAATTTAAAAATTCAAGGGATCCCTGGGTGGCTCAGCAGTTTAGTGCCTGCCTTTGGCCCAGGGCACGATCCTGGAGCCCTGGGATCGAGTCCCATGTCGGGCTCCCGGTATGGAGCCTGCCTCTCCCTCTGCCTGTGTCTCTGCCTCTCTCTCTCTCTCTCTCTCTGTTGATCATAAATTTAAAAAAATTTAAAAATTCATCAATATAATTCACCACATTAACAAGATAGTGAAGGAAAAAAAACATGATCACCTAAATAGATGCTGGAAGCATCTAACAAAATGAAAAATCCACTCATGATAAATATTCTTAACAATGTAGGAATAGAGGACAATTCTTAAACACTATAAAGAACATCTACAAAAACCTCTACAGTTAACATTACAATTAACAGTGGAAGAATGAATGACTTCCCCTGTGATTAGGAACAAAGCAAGGAGATCTGTTTTTACTACTATAATTCTACATTGTACTAGAAGTCCAAACCAGTTTAATAAAGCAAGAAAAAGAAAACATATACAAATGGGAAACAAAGAACTAAAACTATCCTTTTCTTCTCATGACATGCATGACTGTATATGGAGAAAATCCTAAGACTTCTTCCAAATAGCTACTAGAACTAACAAGTCAGATTAGCAAGGTCTCAGAATATAAATTCATTATAATTGAAAAATCAATTGAGTTTTATATGCTGGCAACAAATAAACAAGAGATAGATCATGTTCATTGATAGGCAGACTTAATACTAAGATATCAGTTCTCCCCAAATTGATCTACAAGATTCAACACAACCACAATGCCAGATACATATGTGTAAATTGAAAAACTGATCTTAAAATTTATGTGGAAATATCTAAGACCAAGGAATGTCCAAAACAATTTGGAAAAAGAATAACAAAGCTGTAGGATTTATACTACTTGATTTTGAGACTTATTATCAAGCAATGTGATCAAGACCACATGGTGTTAGTGAAAAGGATAAATATACAAATCACTTGGACAGAATAAGTCCAGAAATAGACCTACACATGTATGGTCATTTGATTTCTGACAAAGGTGATTCTATGATGAGAGGATCCTTTTTTTTTTTCAAAAAGTAGTGCTGAAAGACTTGGATATCCATATAGAAAAAAACTCAATTTTAAACTTCAATTTTAAACTCATCCAATACACAAATGAACTCAAAATGGATCATAGATGCAATAGCAAATGAGAAAATCTGTATTTCTAGAAGAAAACATAAGAAATACCTTTGCAACTCTAGGTAGACAGGTTTGTTAGATGGGTCACAAAAATATAAACTACAAAATAAAATATTAATACAATGGATTTTATCAAAACTAAAACCATTTGCTCTTCAAGAGACACCATTAAGAAAATGAAAAGGCAATGCACAGAATGGGAGAAGATTTTCAAAGTATACATATAAATGACAGAGGGCTTGTTTCCAGAATAAAGAAAAAAACATACACAACTCATAAGATGGCAACCTAGTCAAAAATGGCACATGATATGAACAGACATTTCATTAAAGAGGATACAAGAATGGTTGGTAAGTATATGAAATGTCATACAACATCACAGTTATCAGGGAAATGTGAATTAAAAGCACAATGGGATACCAATATGCATCCATTAGAAACACTTCAATTAAAAGGACAGCAGCAAGTGTTGACAAGAATGTGGAATAACTAGAACTCTCCCATACTACAGGTAAGAATGTAAAATTAATCCCTTTGGAAAACACTTAGTCATTTGCTTATAAAGCTAAACATATACCTACCATGCGATCCAGAAATCTCACTCCTAGGAATTTACCCAAGAGAAATGGACACATATGTTCCTTCACACAAAAACTTATACAGTAATAGTTATAGTAGCTTTATTAATAATAGTCAAAATCTGGAAATATCCCAAATGTCAATCAAAATATAATGGATAAACACATTGTGATGTATATGTATAATGTAATCCTACTCATTACCAGAAAGGAAAAAAATTCCGGAACTGAATTCATTCAGAAAGGAACTGAAATCTGAAACAACATGAATCAATCTAAAATCATTATGCTGAGCAAAAAAAGCCAAACATGTTAGAGTACATGCTGAACGATCCTCATTACGTTCAACTCTAGAAAAGACAAATTACTTCCATTAAATCTAACTTCTGAGGTTCTAATCATGGAGCCCTCTCACAACACGGCAGCTACTTCTTCAAGACCAGCAAGAGACTCTCACTTCAGGCTCCTCAGACAGTCTTATATAACATAATATAATACAAGACTGACTATCCATCCCATCACATTCGTAAGATCTGCTCACTTTGAAAAGGAAGGGATTATACAGAGCATGTACACCAAGGAATGGGAATTTGGGGCCACTGGAGAGTCCTGCTTACCACAGTTGCCTTTTGGGTTTTACTGTCCAAAAGTTTCACTGCACCAAATTTAAATTTCTCTTTCTCTCTACTACCTGCATATATGATATGAAATGCAAAATTCTTTTTCAACTGAGTGAAGCAAGATGTACGCATGAGACATAGTTTTCTAATGTGGGAAAATGACATAGGAGTGTTGCTTGGTCATTAAAAAGTGGGATCAGATGTTTGAAACTCAACACTCCTCACTCAGTTCTAGTACTGAATGTCTACCCTGCTCTGGTTTGTGAAATGATGTTTATACTGTTTAGAGAATTATAGTGATATTTAATTTTTTATAATGCAAGATTTACCAAAATCTGATAACTGCCAACACATATACACACACAATGTTATATATTGATTACAGAAACAATATACATTCGAAGAGGAAGTTCAACTGGATCTATAATGCTGTATTTTCTAAAACCAGATCTGATAAAATGTTCACATTTGCAATTTTGGGTATATGGGTGTTATATTTTCCTTTCCCTTTTTTCAGATTTACATAAAGAGAAAGAAAATCACTATGATGTAAATTTGACACATTCTTTTCTTGTAAAATCTTCAATTTTCTTATTGCTTCCTTAGTAACAGCAAGCCATGGCAGATATTCATGAGAAAACCAAGACTCAGGGTCTTGCAGGGGCAAGAGTTTGAGAGTTTGAGAGTTTCTGAACTTACTAATTGGTCCCTCAGTGGTATGCCATTACTTGGATATCTAGTTCCATCTAACAGGCTTATTGGATTTTCTGGCGCAGAGTAACTATAGTGTTAAATGACTTTGAGGAAGGCTCTTGTACCTGAAGGAAATCCTATAGGGTAGATTATAACAGGCTTCCATTAAAAGCCTCTTCCATTTTACTGGGTAAAGGGGAGTTTAAGATGTGGTGCTCATTCCCTGTTATAGGAAATTGGGCCAATTTATGACATAGTGGCAAAGGGATAATTTCTCATGATTCATCACCCTGGTCATTGGCTATCAAGAGGTTTCCCAAAGTATGTTCTCAAGATCACTAACTTGGTGGAAAGCCCTCTGAAATTGAAACAAAAACAAAACCAAACCAAAAACCTGGCTTCCGTAGTCAAATACATTTAGAAAATTTTAGATGAAGCAAGTATAAACAGCTTTCTTTATCTCATTCAAGAAGGGATAGAGTAGGATTCTTTTCCAAATTTATTTGTGTTTTAGAAATGTACTTGATCACCATATCATCTTTTCACTGTTTTAAGAAACACACTCTAACAAGATTATCTTTGATTTTTAAAATCCTTGGGTAGCCACAGAGCAAGCTGATCTTTCTCAAAGTCATGCTGATAAATACAGGTAAGCTCTCTTTACCTACTAAATCACTGGCTCTCAAAGGTTGCTCTGTTATCTCCAATTTCTCATTAGCTCTTTCTGGTTGCTAGAACAGAAAAGAAATACTTCCTATTTCTTTCTTCTCCTTCTTTCTTGAAAAAATTAGAGACAGATTATATAACCCTGGCCTTCCCCTGAGTATATTCTGAGGATATTCAAAAGCATTTATCAGTAACTTGTGAGTGGCTTTGCAGAAGCATCTCACATTTTAGATAAACAGGAGGTTTCTTACTCTTTCTGTAAATCAACTATTTTCTCACTGATTTACATGACAATTTCAGAATTGTCAACTTGTACTTGTGCCTAACAAATTAGTCCTAAGCTTCGTTGCCTCCTCCTCTTTCCCCTGATCTTCTCTGCCATGTAGTTCATGATGTATAAATAAACACTTAGAAATATGAAAGGCAACCCAATAGGAACTTTAAGGATTTTTTCATAAGCCAAAGAGTCCTTTCAAAATGTGAGTGATTCCTTAATAGAATCAACTAGAAAGTCCAGAAATAAACCCAAATATAGAGAGAGGAATTAAGTATGTCAAAAGTGACATTTAAATCCATGGAGGAGGGAGCCCTGATGGAGACTAAAGGGAGAGCTATTTGGGTATATGAAATGGGACCAGATCATAGAGGACTCTGAATGCCCAGATGAAGAGTTTACCCTTAGTTCACTTTTTATTGGGGAACCTCTAGGAATTGATGAGCTTAGGGTGCAGGTTATCATCTCAACCTTTATCGACATTTTTGGCCAGATAATTCTTTGTCATGGGAAATTAGCCCCATGTATCACAGGATGTTTAGCAGCTTCCCTGGCCTCTACCTACTTGATGTTAGAAGCATCTTCCCCTTTACAAATTGTGATAACCAAAAATGTCCCCAAACATTGCCAAATGTCTCCTGGACAACAAAATTATCACAGACTGAGAACAACTGAGCTCTAGGACGACAATAACCGGTGTTTGAGAAGGACTGTCCAGTTGTGGTTGTTGCAGAACGAACAGAAGGTGAGCAGGACAGGACCCTGAGACAATTCTTAGAGGCTATCCCAGTACACTAGGTATGGTACATTTTTACAGTAAGGGCCTCTAATAAAGTACATATCCTTCTATCTGTGACCTTGTATGGTCCCCTCTCACATTGATATAGGGCTTGGCCACGTGACTTGCCTTGATCAATGAAATATCAGCAACCACGACACAAGCTGAGCCTTGAGAAGCATGTGTGCATTGGAACTTAGCCTCTTGGAACACTGCCCCCATGAAACAAAGCCCACACTACCCTCCTGAAGACACATGGTCCAGCTAACAGCCAATACCAACTTCCAGATATGAGTGAGGCCCTTTAACATCATGTAGCTACAGTGACTACATGATCTTAGGCAAGCCTGCAGAAAAACTACCTACCTGAGCCCTGCCCAAGTTAATGACAACTTAATTATGAACAAATGAGATGGCTGCTGTTTTAAATCACTGAGTGATTGTTGTATTGTTATGCAGTGATAGATAACTTATAGTAGGTCTGGAGCAGATCACTATCACTGGAAATGAAAAGATGTATACACAAGACATTCACAAGAATCAGTATCTCTTGATGACCCTTCAGTGAAGGGACTCAGTGAAAGGGCAAAACGGGTAAAAAAAATAGAAGAATTGAGAAGCTGAGTGCAAAGGGCAGATTGAATTCAGGATTGAAGTTGCATGAGCAGTCTTCAAGAAAACACTTCTGACTAGGCAGTTAAAAGTATTAACTCATCTATTTTGAAAACTACTGATACTTAGTAATTGCTAACAGTATAATGATAATAATACTTCAAAGGTTCAGTTTAACAAGTATATTTCTAAAGCTTTAAAGGCATTACCAAGCTAGCCACTTCTTACTTCATATGGAAAAATCAATCTTTAGAATAAACAGGAAAGCACATAAACTCAAAATCAATAACAATTTATATTGCACTAATGATAAAATTCATTTCAATGTATTAGCTGTCCACTTGTATGGAACTATATTCGCTTAGCAATTAGATTGCTAAGACCATGGCCTTTAATGGAATGCCTCTCATAATTGACCAGTTAAATTTACAGATGGTGATTATCAGTGGTATTTACAGCTTGATAAATGCTGACCATTGACTCTGTTCATTGTATTATTCAAGAATTAGCAGTTCCTCAGATGGTTAGCACTTAGCTTTATGTTTAAGAACACCAGCCTGGAGGGATGTCTGTCAAATCCCCTACTTTATTTTAATCCTAATAAAAAAAATCAACTAATAAGCAATAAAGAAAATCTGGAATGAGATAAAAATGGAAATATGGAGTCATAACTAAAAGAAATGGCAGTAAATAAAAGAGAGCCTTAAGCGAGGAGGGAATGCATAATGTGAAAATAACCCAAACGCATTTTCAAAGGCTGTTAGGATCACAGAAGAGAACATATGCGTAAGTTATATGACAGAGGGAGGGTCTCTTGGAAACACGGTAAGATTTAAAAAAAAAAAAAACAAAATCATTGACTTTGTAAGATCTTGTACCCATGAAACAGTATTAAAGAAACAATAGCACTGCTGAAATGAATATTTAAGATGAAAAGGTAACATGAGCTTGGATATATTATTTCCGTCGAGATTAATCTAAAAAAAAAAAAAAGAAAGAAAAAAGGTACTCTAGTCTTTTATCTAGTCTAGCAGTCTTAAATGCTGCTGCCTGCCAAAGGAGTTTGGTTTTTAATTCTTTCTCAGGTTGGGGAGACAAGGACGGAGAAAGCTTACTTGGATGGAGGGACCTGGAGGACCTATGTGATTTCTACCGCGTATAGACCAGGTGGAATTTAATGTTGAAAGGACACGGATTAAAGCAAGCCAGTAAAATCAGAGAACGGGGTCTTCTGGTAACTCTTGTGGTTTAGTTCGCAAGAAAACCTGTATATGCAGACGTTTACCAACGTCCTGGAATTGCAAGATAATAGACTACAAGGGATCCCTGGGTGGCGCAGCGGTTTGGCGCCTGCCTTTGGCCCAGGGCGCGATCCTGGAGACCCGGGATCGAATCCCACGTCGGGCTCCCGGTGCATGGAGCCTGCTGCTTCTCCCTCTCCCTCTGCCTGTGTCTCTGCCTCTCTCTCTCTGTGACTGTCATAAATAAATAAAAATAAAAAAAAAAAGATAATAAACTACACATAACCTTCACCGATTTGGAATCCTACCCCTACCTTCCTGCCCGCTCCTTCCGTCCAGGTAGCTCTGCACGCTCCTACTAGTTGCCGGCTTTCCCGGAGCAAACCGTTTCACGCCGAGGGGCCGGGCGAGGCCAAGGCCGGGACCCCGCGTCGGTGGCCGCCAACCCGGGCCGGGGGGGGGGCGGGGGGGGGCGGGGGCGCGGTGCTGGAGGCCCCGCGGGCCGCGGAGGCCGGAGCCGGAGCCGCGCGCCCCTCCTACCTGGCTGGGCGGGGCCGGCGGGCGAGGGCGAGGGCCAGGGCCAGGGCGAGGGCCAGGGCGAGGGCCGCCCCGCGGGCGCTCAGTGTCGGGCGGGCGCTGCGGCCGCAGGACGCGGAGTCGGGGGCGCACCCGCACCCGCACCCGCCCCGCTCCCGGGACCCAGGGGCCGCGCGCCGCCCCCGCCCCCGCCGCCCAGGCGCCCGCCCCGGCCCCCGCCCGGACGTTCCCGCAAGTGGCCGAACCGGCCGGACGGGCCCGACTCGCCGCCGCTCGGGGCGGCAGCAGGTGGCCCCGGCGCGCAGAGCGCCCCACCGCGCCCCGGAGCCGCCCGGGCTCGCCTCGCCGCGCGGCATGGAGGCGGGCGGGGACCGCGAGGAGCTGGCCCACCTGCGCTCGGTCTTCGCCGCGTGCGACGCGAACCGCTCGGGGCGCCTGGAGCGCGAGGAGTTCGGCGCGCTGTGCGCGGAGCTGCGCGTGCGGCCGGCCGACGCCGAGGCCGTGTTCCAGCGCCTGGACGCCGACCGCGACGGCGCCATCACCTTCCAGGAGTTCGCGCGCGGCTTCCGCGGGGCCCGCCGGGGGGGCCGGCCCCGAGCCGGGGCTCCCCGCCCCCCCGCGGCCGCCCCAGCGTCGGCGGGGCCCGACCCCGAAGAGAGCGGCGAGGCGGGCGAGGGCGAGGACGAGGACGAGCGCGAGGGCGACGGGGACGCGCGGGCGGCCGCCTGGGGTCGGGCGAGCCCCGGCCAGGCCTGGCGGGACTTCCAGGAGCGACTCGGCGACGAGGCCAAATTCATCCCCAGGTGCGCGTCGGCTTGGAGCGCGGGGGCGGGGGCGGGGGTGGCGTCGGCTCCCGGTCCTCCCCGGGCGCCGCCACCGCCCGCCCTGCCGCGGGGTGGGCGGGCCCGCCGCCCCCGGCTCTTCGGGGCTCGCTTCTCGCGGTCCAGCGACTCTCAGCTTTTCCGAGCGAGGGGGGAGATTGCCCTAGAGTTGCAGAAAGGGAGCGCGCTCGGAGTCGGGGTTGGGGGAGAAAGTTTCGCTTGCCCATTTCTGAGCCCTGCAGAGCTCACACCGTTCGTTGATTCCCGGGGCCGCAGTGAAGTGTGCGGCGCCCGGAGTCCGCGCCCCGCATCTCGTCGCACCTTCCAGCGGGGCCTCCTGGCTGCGCCCCAAGCGGCGACCCGCAGCTGCGAATGGCCGAATGCCAAATTGGTGTCCTTTTGTATGTAGTCGTTCTTGTTGATTTCCTGCAACTACACAGAAAACGAAACATGTTGGGCATTTATATTGCTGGACTTTACGTCTTCAGTGATGCCTACCGTGTGCCAGGCATTTTGCAGAGTTCGTTCATTTGATTTTTGCAGCCACTCTGGAAGGTGGATTTTCTTATCTCTGACTGATGGAGAAACTCAGACCCAGAAATTTAGAGGTGTAAGACATTAGGGAACTTGACTAGCTAATAAAAGAGCAGAGATTTGATCTCGATGTTGAACTGAAAAACTCGGCTTTTCTACAGTGGAATAGAATGATAAAATCATACAGTAAATTCTCTGGCTTGGACAGACATGATATCAAGTTACTAACTTAATTCTCGGGGGGGGGGGGGGGAAGAGCATACCTGCAGAGGCAGGGCGTGGAGAGAAAGATGCTCAGGTTTTATTCAAGAGTCATTTGCATCTGTTCGCGCCTTCCTGTCATGGTATGTCTCCAAACTGCTATTTTCACATCTTCCTCTACACTTCCTCCTCAGGCACTACAAACACGTTAAAGCTATAAAAAATGTATTTCTGCTCTCTGTTTGGGTTCTAGTTGAAAGCTTATGGAGCTGTGGCTGTCGTTATTAAGAACTGAGAGGTGTCATTTTGGCTGGCAGCTCACATATTTTAGATATGAGACTCAGAAAAGCAAGTAGCCCTGGAAGGGTCAGTGGTCTTGCTCGCTCACCCATTCACAGCTTGGACCTGCAGGCCTGGGAGTTCCACTTCCTCCTCTGCCCAGCTCCTCCCTCCATTGGAGAGAAAGGCATGGAGAGTGACTCACTGCAAGTATGAGTTGAATGGTGTGGAGAAAGTGGGTGTGATACCCATCTTTTCTATTATTTACAAGCGAGTTAAAGGGCAACGTCTCTTCCAGGGAAGCACAAATTTAAACATTGCTGTAAACTATACTGTTGGAATGATCTTTTATCTGTAACTTGGTTTGGGTCCAACTAATTAAAGAAGGTAACAATTTTAAGAGTAAGGAAAGGAGAGCCCATACATACCATGTTTTACAAACGCATACCTACACACAGATCTGCTTTTCACAGTAGTCAGGTCTCAGCAGTAAATATTTGACACTTAACCTTGAAATGATTAGGATGATCCTCTTAGAATCAGGATTACTATTAAATCAGGATTTAATATTGCTGGTGACGTTATTATCATGGCTTTCCAAACTCTTCAAAGGTTATCAAATTTAATGGGCACCAGTGTCACCTGGTAGACTTGTGTTTTTAAGCCACACCCTCTTCTGATTGGAGATTAACAAGCACAATATTTGCCTTCCTGTGCTTGTTCAACTGGAAAAGAACTAAACTGAGTTGCTTCATCTGATTGTTACCATGGCAGCCATTAACTGTTTCTGGTAAATTCGAGCGCTTCTATTCCACTTCCGCATACAGCTGTTCATCTTCTCTTCCTCTCATCCAGGTGTGGTAAAAATCTTTTGTTCTCGATAAAGCCATTGGCGTTATTTCAGCCAAATAAATTCTGCAGACGTTATTGGGTGCTTATTTTGTGCCAGACATGATTGTAGATACTGCCCTACGTCCCTGGGAACAAAGAGAAGGATGAGCTGTAGTTCATGTCCTCAAGATGTTTATAGTGTGGGTGGAACATTCAGCAAAGAACATTGCAAGAGATTCCACATATTGTGGACATAGCCCAACAGAGAGCAACTAGGAGCTGTCTTTGAAATGTTGATTTTCATTTTTAAAAAGGTCATGTATTTGTTCATTTTACTCCATAATATATCAGGGCTTATTTTAATATAAAATATTACACTTTCCTCCGGTGGGAAGATTGTTTCTCTAGAAAGGTATGCCATTTCATTTGGTGGCTTTGTTTCTCATGTTGCTCAACATCCTATCCCTGGTGGCTTCTTGTCCCATGCTTATCCAGGGGGTTTCCATGTCTAGTTTGAGAAAAACAGGTATCAGATGTAAGAATGTTTGACTCCTATAAGGCAAAATGTAGTAGGGTTAGCAGAATTTCCATTTGTAAGACCTTTCTAGCTCCTGGTTTTAAAATATTAAGCAAGTTTGGGTTAAATTCCCCAATCATTAATAATTGTGATCTTAGAGGAGAAGTAATGTTGTACTGTAAAAAGATGAAAGTGGTCTCTGGGATGTGTGTCAACGCACTTAGAGTTGTTTTTTTCTTGTAAGATTGAAAGATTCCTTCCACTAACATCCCCAGTAGTCAAGTGACCTGTTAACTGAGCTGGCAGGTGTTAAATGATCTACAGGGTCAGGATGGTCATCAGCACTTCCTAGTGAACTGGAATCAGGTCAGCCAACAGGTGAAATCAGAATGGTCAAGGTTAAAGAAGAGAATTCAGGAAGAAAGATTGTACAGTGTCAAGAAAACTCCACGAAGTGGGGAGAAAATGTTGGGTGAGAGATAGAGAACACACTTGAATCACCTAACCTGGCCAATATCTTGTGCCAGGGTTGTTATGAAAGGGAGTTTTGTACCTAGTAAGTACTTAATAAGTGTGCTGAGTATATGTGTGCAGAATGAGCAGAATAAAATGGTGTTTTTTGATTCCTTGATTCGTATACTGAGAATGCAGTTTATGTTATGTGCATTTTCTTCATTTGTTTTGTTGATTCTCTCTCTCTCTCTTTCTCTCTCTCTCTTTTATATTCTGGTGTGAGCTGGCCATGGTGTTCCAAGATTGGCAAGAAGAGAGGGAAGTAAGACGTGTGTGCACGTGTGCATTTAACATTTGACCAGGGGTAGGAGGATGCCAGAATTCTCTCCTCTAGTTGGGCCTGAAGCTTTTCAGAGTTTTCTTTGATAAGTCAACTTAGAACCCCACATTTTCACAAAGAGGTGAGGATCCAGCTGGCACCAGAACCATAGTGGATTTGTGCATGGGACAGGTACTGCCACAGTGGCTAGATCAGGGATAGACCGAGGGTGGCACTTGTGATGTAACAGGTGATTGGTGACCTGCCAGGCACGGCTAGGCTGCCATCTGTTCAGGCACCAAAATTGGACCTATGTGGTCAGCTGTTTCTCATGGTTTGGGACCTTTCTACATACACACTGTTGAAGGGGTGGCTTTTATCTCGATAATTTAGAAACAATAAATTTAGTTGAGAAGAACCAAGACTACCCACTTGTGAGCTGTATATGGATTATCAAAAACAGTGTACTTCAGCATATCTCTATAACCATAGTGATGATTATGAAAATCAAAAGAAAAAGGTCAGTGGCTGAACACCAATCCCACTGAAGCAGGACATTTTTATTTTATTTTATTTTATTTTATTTTATTTTATTTTATTTTTTTATTTTATTTTATTAATTAATTTATATATTTATTCATTTATTTATTTATGAAGTGGGCCATTTTAAAAACATGTAGCTACATGTAGGCAGAGGGATAGTTTTCATACTGGTCCAGGTTTCTTTTACATTTCCCCATCTTGGGTTCCATGTTAGCCCTTTCCAGTCCGATTCCTTTCTTTCCTAATAATGTGGTTGCTTCATGAACCCCCTTCTCTTCCATGATGTGCTTCGCAAGATGGGAAGGCAGAAGGCAGATGGCAGCAGAGAAACATAAACTCAGAGAGAGGGCTGGAGACATGGAGGGGGAGAGGGGCCAGGTGAGGGGTGGGGAAAGACAGAGATCAACAGACAGACGGATTAGATAGTGTCTGTTTCCCCTCTCTTTCCACTGAACGAGTTTATGGCCATGAGCCGGAGACGAGAGAGGCAAATCAGCTCTGCTTTATTAGATTTTAGCTCTTGAGTATCCTCAGTAGGTAAGCAACTTGTTGCCTTGGATAGTGTTTGTAATATTTGAAGATATGTTTTTCCACTCATGTGGCCAGGAATATTATCTGGTGTTCATCTAAGGAGGTAAAGACTTGTTCTAGTCTTGAAGGACGAGAGTGGTTTGGACCCCAGTCCTGGAAGATAATTGAGGTTGTTTTTCGCTGCGTGTCTTATATACCTCTGGCCCTGGCTTTGGGATCTATCCGAGTTCTGGCCACAGTCTTTCCAGAACTCTTTGCTTTTCTCTGTTCAGAAGTATACTATATATATGTGTACTCACTATATATACTATATATATATATATGTGTGTGTGTGTGTGTGTGTGTGTATATATATATATATATATATATGTATTTATATACGTATGTATCCTGACAGTTGTTGGTCTGTTTTGTCCTCTTTCGTGTATCCTCCACTATAATTCTTGTGTGTCATTACCCTGCTGCTGAGTGGGAGAACCCTGTCTGTTAAGAAAACCACAGCTTTGCCCTGAACCTTCCCAGCTTTGCTCCTGGGCTTTGTAGTAGTCTGTGCATGGCTTGGCTTTTTTTTTAATTAATTTATTTATTTATGATAGAGAGAGAGAGAGAGAGAGGCAGAGACACAGGAGGAGGGAGAAGCAGGCTCCATGCCGGGATCCCGACGCAGGACTCGATCCCGAGACTCCAGGATTGTGCCCTGGGCCAAAGGCAGGCGCTAAACCGCTGAGCCACCCAGGGATTCCCCCATGGCTTGGCTTTTATGGGCTCTGCTTG